TGAATGCACAATAAAAAAGGGCTCTCTTCTTAGCAAAATGTTTGGGAACCAATCCTGCTGCCACTAGAGTGAATGAGAACATCATTAACTTCTGTGGGAACAGGATGGGGCTCTCATTGCGTTAACTACAATATACTAACAAAAATGTCTAGGTATCTGTAGTTTCTTTACAATTTACAGTATTCCTCACAAGTCTAAAGCTTGAATAATTAAGTGTAACATGTACCTCAGCGTAATGACTATTGGGCCTGATTCTGATCTCAGTTACATCAGTATATATGCCACTTAAGTCAGAGTTACTCGGAATTTACACTGGTATAACGGAGATCAGAGTCTGTCACTTTTGTTTTCTTTCTATGCTTTGACAGTGGACTCAGCCTTTAAGGCCAGAGAGGCCATCATGATCATCTAGTCCGACCTCCAGCACCTCGTAGGCCACAGAACCTTACCCACCAAGTACTGCAACAGGTCCATAATCTCTAGCTGAGTTGCTGAAGTCCTCAAATCTTGATTTGAAGACTTCAAGTCACAGAGAATCCATCATTTACTGTAGTTCAACCAGCAAGTGCCCTATGCTGTAGAGGAAGGTGAAAGGTGCACCTGCTGCTAGCAAGCACATTGTATGAGGGATGTTGTGTATTGTGAATTTTTTTCCTCCATTGTACTAAGTGTAGAGAATTGATTGCTATAATGTACCTTATTATTTCTGAAAAAAAGAAAAGGTGCAAATCTGAAATAAATGGTGAGCCTTACCCTGCCCCTGAGCCATCCTTCATCTGTACCCATTTATATCCATAGGAGTGGCACACTGAACCAGATCCTCAGCTGGTGTAAATCAACATAACTCATGAACGGTAGAGGGAGGGGTCTCTAGGCAGAGTCACAACTTCCATTTCAAAGCAGCCCACCAATTAGTTTGAGACGAGTACGAACAGCAATTTATTCTAATATATTTATTATTCCTAATCCATGGCAAATTATTGAAGTGTTCTCCTATTCAACGCAGTTATTAGTGGAGAATATTTTCTGTGTTGGAAGCAATCCAAATCAACTGCTCCAATATTTTAATGATTCAGCTGAGTCACATGACTGGCTGTTGCTGTGTGTCTTCCACTTAGAAACATTCTAATCACTCCCCACTTGTAATTGCTCTCAAAATGTTACTCAGAGTTCTGGAGAAAACGGAGATCGTGGGAGCATTTTATAACAAGAGGCACTGTGGCATCGGGAGTAGAGAATCTGTAAGTCAGTCATGGTGGACAGATGGCACTGTGAGCTACTGTGACCACTGGCAGATGGCAATAAGAATTTGGATAAGGCAAAAAAGGTGATTGTAAACGAATTAGAACCATGAAGATACTAATGATCACCATCCCTTTCTGATGGTTTTCTTACTAACTTGACGTTCAATCACCCCATCCTATGGAAAGCTACAGAGGAGTAGCAATAATGCACCTTTTCAAAGCAGGTTGTTTGATGGGTGGGAGTTACTCCACTTGGAATAAGCAGAGAGTTCAGTCTCCAGAATCCTTGCAAGATTTTCTTGAAGCCTGAGCCATCCACATAGGAGCCCTAGGCCTGGCTCTGTAGCTTCCCAAAACCCAATTTCTTGGCTTTTTTGGAGTTTTGTTGGCCAGACATGCCTTTTATGGGATGTTCCTGGGGCAGCTGATAACTCTCACCCATCAAACAACCTGCTTTGAAAAATCATAAGTTTCAGTGTTTCAGACACTTAAAACTGAAATGTCATGGTGTTGTAACCGTGGGGATCCCAACCCAAAAGGGGGTCATTGGGAGGGTCACAAGGTTATTGTAGGGGGATTGAGGGATTGCTACCCTTACTTCTGCACTGTTGCTGGCGGTGGTGCGGCCTTCAGAGCTGGGCGGCTGGGGAGCAATGGCTGCTGGCCGGGTGCCCAGCTCTAAAGGCAGCACTGCCACCAGCAGTAGTGCAGAAGTGAGGGTGGCATGGTGGGGGGAGAGGATCGGGTCAGCCTTACAGATGGGCGACGTGGGCAACCGCCCAGGGCGCCATGGTTGGGAGGGGTGCATGTCCACCCCCACAAACGCACAGCCAGCCTAAAGCCCCTTTAGCCCTCCGAGCGCCAGGATGTTGGGCCCAGAGCCAGGGAGGGGCAGGGCTGGGGGTTCCCTGGCCTAGTGGCTGCTCCCGGGCCGGGTCAGACCCACTTCTAGAAACCTCCCCCAGCTGCAGGAAGGTCTGCCATTGCTGGCTGGGAGCCCAGTTCTGAAGGCAGTGTTGCCACCAACAGCAGTGCAGAAATAAAGGTGGCATGGTTTGGTACTACCACCTTTACTTCTGCGTTGCTGCTGGCTGTGCCACTGCCTTCAGAGCTGGGCTCCCAGTCAGCATCCGCCACTCTCCAGCCATGCAGCTCTGAAGGGAGCACAGAAGTAAAGGTGGCAATACTGCAACACCCCTACAATAGCCTTATGACCGCTCCCCTCACAACCCTCTTTTGAGTTGGGACCCCCAGTTTGAGAAATGCTGGTCTCCCCCCTGAAGTCTGTATAGCATAGGATAAAAGTATACAAAAGACCAGATTTCACGGGGGAAACCAGATTTCATGGATGTGAATTTGGTAGGGCACTAGCAATTACCATTACTGGTTTTGTCACAAACTTTGTGTGACCATGGACAAGATCCTTAACCTCTCTGTGATCCAGTGCTCATATTTGCAATAGGGATTGTACTTATTAGGTATCTCACAGAGATGATGTGAGTGTTACATGCTCACTCTTCTGTAGGAGTTTGTGGTCCATATTGCTTTGCCTTATAAAGCTTCAGGCCTCACATTCCAGACTTTAAAACAGACAGGAGCAGCAACAATAGAAAAATCTCACAGGCTCTAGAAGTTATCAGTTAACAATAATCACTTCTAAGCTCCTAGGTTCTTAAGACATCTTTCCTCTCTAGCTACAAACATCACACTCTCAGAGAGGGAGGGATGTTTTCTCTATTTGCAGCCTTATATCTAGACACTCCCTCAGTCTCTCTTCCCGTCACCCTACGGTACACCTAGAGATAAGTATACACAAACTGTAGAAGAGGAAGTGACTCAAAAACACTGCTGCTATCTTCCTGTGATATGATTTGGTAAATTGATTTAAATATTAACTTTAGGTAACACCTTTTTAAAAAAAAATTGACTTAAGCAGCATAGCCAGATCTTGTTATTTTATTGTGAGTCTCACAATATTTGGTGTTTTTCTTAAAGCTCCAGCTCCTGGAGGCATGTGACTGAGAATTTCAGCTTTTACACTTTTTTTAAAAAGTGTAAAGTTTCCAGCCTTCATAGTTGTGGAGAAAAGCTTGAAAATGTGACCCAAGGGCACCTTAAAGGTTCAAAAAAATCAAGAGAGAAATACATGGGAGGGGGGGAGATAATTCGTTTAAAAATCTTTCGTGATTTTGGGGGGTTGCTTCATGATTTTTGAATTCCTGGGCTTGTCAGCACTGCTCAAGTCATTCCTCCCCCCCTTGCTATACATAGCATATGGAACATGATTTCCCCCATATGTGTATATATAATCTCCAAAGTAAGGAAATGAACTCCCATATCATCCCAGAAAGTAACTCCCATTAATACTGAAGACTTTTAAAGAGAATCCCTTTGATCCATTTCCTGGGATATTGTACGTCTCAGTTAGCTCAGCACTGACGACATGTGTGCATATGCATGTATGCACGTACACATGGGCAGACACTCATACTAATGCATTCCGCTCATAACATGCACACGAGTAAGAAATTTGACTATTCATCAGAAATAGTCAGATTTTACCAAAAGATATCTGTTTTGCTCTTCTATATGAAGAACTTTTAAAGTGAAGTCAACTGTCACCAAAAAGAAGAACAGGAGTACTTGTGGCACCTTAGAGACTAACAAATTTATTAGAGCATAAGCTTTCGTGGACTACAGCCCACTTCTTCGGATGCACCGTTTTACATGTGCAAATATACCACAGACTTCTTTGCACATATCCAATACCCAAACAGAAACTCTGGATCATCAACATAGATAAAAAGATTTGTGTCCTACTGATGCTGGTTAATCCTCTTTCACTTCACCCTTAAAAATGCACATGGGAGTAGTGATGCTAGCCCTATGGAAAGGTGCATTAGTGCTTCAATAGACACCCAACTGAAGAAGGGGTTGCATGACTCCCAACCCCTCTAGTTAACGGAGGCTGGTAGTATTATGGAATTGATGCCATCAGCTTTTGAGAGAGGATGCATCTAATGGCTGATCAATGAGCAGTGTTGCAGTTGATGAAACTTCCTTCCTCCACCCCACCATGAACCACAAAGGGAGGGATGATAATGGGAACACAGATGGGAGGGTGAGAGCTCTAGAGGTCCAAACTCACATCAGGCAGTATCTTCTGTCACTCCACACAATCACTATCATGGCCAGGACTGATAGAGTGAGGTAGAGTGAATGCTTAAATGCCCCCATTCTTCCTTCCTCTTCAGAGACAGCAATTCTGACATTAGTGGAAGCTAAGAACCTGAACAGATAGCTCAGTGCAACATTAAACGTACAGAAATTGATTCAATGGTACTGTAAACCCAAATAAGTATTTCAGTCTTGTAACCTTTACTATCCACCGTTTAATAAAAAAATGCACCGTTACTACCAACACAACATACATAGCAGCAACAAGACAGAAACAATGACCAAAAAGGAAAGAAAATGTGTGAGATCCAGCCTCCAAGACAAGTCTCATGAGGACTCATACACAGTTTTATGTCTGAACATTACCTTTTAGCTTCAGTAGATAAAACCTTTGAGTTGCTTAGCAGTATCACCCATTACTTTGCTCATAAACCTTTTTTCTACATGGCACAGTCTCCCCCCACCCCATGTTTGACACTTTTATATTCACAGTGACACATTACTGCAGCTTGGGCTATGACTGCACAATACGGTAGATCTCAACAGCTTACAAAATACCAGAAAGCTTTTGGGTTTTACCTGGCTCTGTACAGTTCTTTTCTTCATGTGTCACATTATGCGAGGCCATCAATCTTCTATTCCTCCATATTTCTGACAAAACATTTTTGTCTGTAATAGTGGATTCTTGTCCTATATTAAACGCAAAAGTGTTTGTCAGCATTGCTATCCAGATCTTCTTAATTGGACTGTATATATCCACCCAAGAAGAACACTGGGAAACTAAGTTAGATGTTGAAATCTTCAGATACACATATACACACACACACACATGTAAAATGTTGTATATTGTTTCATCAAAAAAATCACATGCACACTTTTTCCAGCTACTTTTTATTTAACAGATTAATAAGTCAAGGTATATCTATTGTAAGGAGCTGACCCAGTCAGTACTAGAACATTTTGGCAACTATATCAACCAGATTTTGTAGGTGATCTGTTGAGACAGAAAGACAGACATAAAATCAATCAATAAATCTCAGATCCTTCATACCTTAATGGGGCAAAATTCCCATTAAAATTTTTGCCTAAGCAAGTATTGCAAGATCAGAATTTGTTAAATTTATCTCTCTCAATACAGCATGTAAGAAGCAGTGTGCATAGCTCAAAAGTGTGTAGCTTCCACCAACAGAAGTTGGTCTAATAAAAGATATTGCCTCGAGTACCTTTTCTCTCTCATATCCTGGGACCAACACAGCTAAACAACAAAGTAAACAGTTTTGCTAATGGAAGTGACGTAATTATAACCAAGGGCAGAAAAGACCTTTTTATTTTCATCATGACCCTACATGCTTATAGTGAACGATTTATACTAGAAGTTGCTCAGGGTCTGATCCTGTAATTCTTACTCAGACACAATTTATCTTCAGTGGTGTGACAGAGACACACCTCTTGACTGCCTCCTAGCAGCTGGATGTGGTACTGTATTTTTCCTGCTCCCGGTGCCCCCTGTAGGTTGCTGACCTTGCTAGGCAGGTCTTCAGAAAGGATTTGCCTTCCTCGGGCTCTTCCCAAAGAGGAACTCCTTTGTTCCTCCCTCCTCCCCTCTACTGAGCTCTCCACTCTATTTAAGGCCTAGCTCCACCTCTTAAACATTTTGTTCTGAACTGTCGCCCCCTGGAAGGTCAACAGTCTGTGCCTTCACCAGGGCACAAGCGTTATCGCTTTGACTTTTTTTTTTGTAGCTGGCACACTTCCAGGTGCAACTGATCCTTCCCCCAGAGTGTCTCCTGCACTTCCTTTCAGAATCTCTCCACTACAGAGTGCAACCTTCACACAATCTCCTTTGTTTCTTGGACCTCAGCTACACGTGTTCCCAAGACTACAGAGAGTCAGCCTTCTCTGTGGCCTCTGTATTCACCTTAACTTCAACCTACCTCCTCTCTGTGGTAACAACCTTGTGCCCAATTTCTACCCATTTCCTACTCTGCAGGCCTTTTGAGTAGGTGTGTTCTCTACTGCCATCAGCGCTACATCCCCTTTGCCTGTAACTACTGCTTTTGCACTGTGGGTTACCCCTATTCTTTCTTGCTCGCTCCTTTGACTATTCCTAGTTTGCCTGATTTTGGAGTCTCCCTTTTCCTCTGGTTGCCACTCATTTCTCTATAACGGCAATGTCATTTTCAATGCCCTGCCACCCTGGAGGCAAAACATACCACCCCTGCCCCAGCTCTGACAACTGGCAGAATATCCCTTGAGGCCCTTTCAGTACCCTGTTGCCCAGAGTCACTCTTGCTATCATGGTTCATATAGGGGTAGATTCTCCTAATACGTCCAAATTGACCACAGGCAGAGCATGTCCTCAACTGGGCCTCATGCCTCTTCATCAGCCCTGGAGGAGTTTCTATGGCTGTTACCTTAGTTCACACCAGCAACTCAATCTTTTCCCCCAGTTCGCCCAAGGGCAAGCCTTTCTGAAATGTTCCATCTGTCCACAACCATAACATCTCCTTGGCCTCAGGCCTCCAGCCCGCTAGATCCTTCTGGTCTTCCCATGATCAATAGCCATTGCTGCTTCTTCCCTGCAGGATCCATAACAGGCAAAGCTGCTGCTCCTCTAGCCAGGCTAGCCACTGTTGCAGATCCCGCCGCACCTCCTGCCATTCTCTGTGAGCCTCACTGAGCTGCTGAAGCAACACCGAAATTTGCTTCACAGAACCAGTCCTCCCCAGAAACAGGTGTATGAATTTTGGTGTCCCTGTCTGTCATGGGTGCTGGGATCCTTGTTACCCTTCAGCTAGCACCTGCTGAGTTTCAGCAGAGCTGTGCTGATGCTGGGTTAGAACTCTTTTCACTTCTCCATTGTGCCCTTATTTCAGGGTGTGGTCCCAAAGTTCCCACTTCCAGTATCAAGTTGTGATGGGGACACTTGAGTGCCTCCTAGTAGCTGAGTGTGGTACTGCACTCTTTTTCCTGCTCCTGGCACCCGCTGTCACAGTCAAAAAAGGACTGAACCTCTTCCAGGATAGCAAAGAGTTCAACATTTTATCTGCTCTCATCAGGGTCTTCAGAGCCATCTCTGGGCACTTTAAATCCCACCCTTTACTGAGGCTTCTGAAGAAGCCTTCTCCACTTCTCAGGGTTTAAGCCACTTAGCTAGTGGCCAGTGGGGGAACCCAGTCCATCCACTACTCCAGGTCCCAACCCAGGGACCCTATAAACAGCAGCCACGTGTTGCTGCTTCCACTTCACTGCTGCTATTCCCTGGGCCTTTTCCCACATTGTCTCTTTCTCTTCATCCTTAGCTCAGGGCTGAAATTCTCAGATCCCCTTCACTGAATGCCAATGCCACCAGAACCCATCTTGAGGTTCTCCATCAAGCTCCTATGGTCCCAGTCAGGAACTGGCCTGTTCAGGCCCTGCAACTCCTTTTATCTAAGCCTGCTGGGCTTTGATTGGCTGTTTTATGCAGCCTGTCTAGAGAGGCCTGGAGGACCCACCTTTGTTGTTCCTTTCCTGGGGTGGGGTGTGGTAGGACCACATAGTTTCCATCGGGGGCCACCAAAGACCTTGTGTACCCCATCACAAGTGGGCATTTTGCCTGAGTAAGGACTGAAAAAATCTGGCCCTAAAGTTAGTTTGGTCAGTGCCATTGCCAAAATGTTCTACTGCTGCAACAATTACAGCGAACTGAGAACTGATGATTAGTGTTTATGTGATGATTCATTACAAATTAATCAGCTAAAAACAGTACCTGACCCAGCTTTCCCCTGGTTAGTCAGGGTTTCCCCTCTGTGTCTGGAGAGCTTATATAGCAATTTCTGCTCTGTTTTCTCAGGGTCTTCTCTCTCAGGCTTTTCTGCCTGGATAAGGTAGGCTGAACTTGTTGGCAACAGTTGAAATTTAAAGTGTAACTTTCATGATACACTTATCATGCATACCAAGATTTTGTGACCAAAAAAAATCAGTTCTGAGAAAGCTTATTTGCATCCAAAAACTCATGACCAAATCACATTGCAGTTATTTTCAGAAACCAGTACAACAAAAATCAAAACTATGTATGATAAATTGTTCAAAATGTGGAAAATCATAGTTTTTAAGACTACAACACAGAATAATTTCCAAAATCTGAAGCCAATAGCATGCTTATAAGAGTGTAGAGTACTAATTTCTTTCACTAATGGCTTGTCATCACAGATCAGTATCAAGTGTAACCAGCAACAGTTTGAACATGAGAGTGTTATCAAGCATTAAAACTTCCACTGGAATCGTTTCTAAATACATATTTTAGCTCCAGCTTTAAGAGAATAAAGGCCCTGATCTGCTCTTGCAGGACCTTGATTGTCTTAAATTAAAGCTAGAGCTAAAATCTGTGTTTAAAAAATAATTCTAGTGGAAGTTTGATGGGTGCATCCCTGCACCTGTGCAGTGCCCCACTGACCTCATTTGGTCTCCATAGGGGCAAAGCAATGTGAAACAACCTGCAGAATTGAGACCCAAAGTTACATTTTTAAAGCACAAACTGTGTGATCAGGAAAAAAAAACCGAGCAGACTATGGAGAATGAAAAGCATTCCAGGATCATAATGTATAAATGCAGCAGTTCATAATGTCCTAATTTAAAAATACTTGTACAGATGTAACAGACTAATTTAAAACATATAAAATGTTTAAATAATATCAGACTCTCAATATTATTTGTCCTAAAATCGGTTCAATCAGTATGGTACTCTGGGAAAAATGAAGTAGTTTTAGATTATATCCAAATATCCAATACCTTATCTTGGTCTTTTTAAAATTCTGCAAGCGGTCAAGTGGCTAGAGAAACAAATGGAAGTCACCATTCGGGCGTTCTACTTCAGGCCCAGGAACTCCACTACTGTATGACTTTGTGCAATGCATGTAATTCCTGTGGCTGGGTTTCCTCATCTGTAAAATGAGCTTAATATTTATGCCCCTCAGAGGGATGCATTTAAAAGTGCTTTGGGATCCTTGGATGAAAGGTGCTAGAGAAATGCAAGGTATTGTTACATATCATGATTTGTGAGGAGGAGCCAGTCCTCTCACCCTCTCCTTAACTGCACGTGAAGTTGTTCAGTAAAAGGGAGCCAAGTCATGAACTATGAAATGCTCCTACGAGAACGCAGCTAGCTAAAAGGTGTGGTTACCTGAGCACTGCTTTGCTTTAATCCCACTGGGCATTGAGCATCATTATCCAGGCAAACTCACTCACTTGGGGGCGCGGGGGACGTCACTTTTTACTGACAGATAGGTCTGGGGGCAGCTGAACAGCTTAGTGCCGCCTCCTCACCAGGACCCAGGACCCAGCCAGCCCATCCTTCCTGACCTACCTGCGGCCTCCCCGCTTTACAAACATGTTTGTTGCCGGAGTTAATAAAGATACACTGACAATGAGCTAGCCTGGCAGAGGCAGCGTGCAAACAGCGAGCCCCCCACCCTGGTGCACAGCCAGGCACTGCCCCAAGCCAACCCCGACATCCCTGGCTGTCCAGTGGCTTGTACTCTGCTCACCCCCGCGGCCACCTACCTAGTTTGGAGAGCAGGCTGGACATGCACCACACGAAGAAGAGGATGGCGCAGATGAAGCCCAGCTGCGGCAGCAGCATCTCTCGCCGCTTGCGAACTTTCCTCAGCTTGAAGAGCATGGTCTGGGGGGCGGCGAGGGGCGGCACTTCCAGCCCCATCGGAGCCAGCGGAGAGAGGACGACGGCGGGCAGAGGGCGAAGAAGCCCCAGGAGACCAGTGGGCTTCACTTAGCGGCACCCCCTGCGGAGGGCTTCATCCCAAGCCGGCTGAACGCACAGGGAAGCCAGCTCCGGGCGCTGAGGAGCGGGCAGCGGGAGAGCTCCAGGCAGCCGCGCCAGGGCTGGGGGAGAGGCGCAGGTGGGAGGCGTGCAAGGAGGGGGCTGAGACGCTGCCGGGGTCTCTCGAGCTGTCAAGGCGAGGGCTGAGCCCGGAGCCCCGCGCCCACCATGGCTGGGCGTGGGGGGGACAAAGCAGCAGCGCCTGGACTCTCGGCCCCGCAGATGCTCCTCTCACTGGCAGGTGCGAGTGGCGCCGGGTGGCGGGCTCAGTGCAGCCCGCGCAGCATCCTCCAGTCCCGGTTAAAGTTCATCCTCCCGCCGCCGCTGCGGGAGGGTGGCGGGTTCCTGGCTGGCGTGAGGCGGGTGCGGAGTGCAGGCTCGGCGGTCCCGTTCCAGCTCGGGGCTGAGCCAGCAGAGCCGCCTCCCGCGGGGAGCTCCGGGGTGACAACGCGCCCGTCCCTCCCCGGCTGCTCTCCCAGGCAACTTTCTCGCCGCTCCTCGAGTCCCCTGGGCAAAGCGCATGTGCCGGAGCCCCGGCCTCCCTCGGCCCCTCCCGCCTTCGCTCTGCCCCCTCCGCGCCGGGGGATTAACTGGCCAAATTAATCCGCTCCCCTAAATGGCGCAGGAATTATCCACTCGCCGGCTAGCACTTGGCATCGCCGGGCGCGCGGGGTCGGGAGGCCCCGGGGAGCAGGCAGGAGCACGTGCCGCTGCGGAGCCAGCCTCTCTCACGCCTCCCAGGCTCGGCCAGGGAGCTGCTTGCCCTTGCCAAGCAAGTGCTGCACCCGGGGGCAGGGGTTAGGGGGAAAGGCAGGCCGTCCTCGGAGCTGGGAGCAAGCCACAACGTAGCTCCGGGCGGCGTCCAAACGCTCCCAGGCTGGTGGGGACGGACGGGCATCTGGCCCATCTCTGGCACTTAGGGACGTCGCTTACCCAGCCCCAGGGATATTATTTCCTGTTCTTTCTAAGAATAGGTCACACAGTCAGGCTCTCTGCCAGCCCTACCATTGCTCTGAGATAGGCAGTTTTGATTTCCTACCTTAGTTTCGCCAACAGTAAAACGGGTGTCACACAGGGATTTATTCTTAATATGTAGCAAGTGCTTTGAGATCCTCCAGTGAATGATGCTATACAGGGAAAGGAACTGGATTATTCTACAGTGAAAACCAGATGAAAGTTATTATTTGCATTACAGTGGTTCATATCAGCACAGGGAAATTCAGTGGGAGTTGGGTGCCTGTCTTGTTTAGGATCCTTTGAAAATTCCAGTTTAAAAATTCAGATGCATTTCTCTTTGGACCAGGCATTATACATTTTTTGTTTATTACTATAAGTGATTTGCCATCCACAGGGCAGGAGAACATATTTGGAACAGCAGACTGAACTGAATAAACCATTTTATAAAACGCATTATTCCTAGACTGTTCCAAAATGGAATTCTTCTCTTCTTAAAATCTTTTATCACCCAATTTCAACTAACAACATGAAACACCTTCTAAAAGGATTTGTACTTATTTTCTATGCAAAATAGTTATTTTCAACTTTATAGAAATACAACTCAAATATATCTCCCCCAATCCCAAGGAGGCACAATGAAACAAAATGGCAAACAGCCATCGCAGACCATGACAACAGCACCAGGGTTAAAGCCCCTGCTATTACCAGCTCCAGGCGTAGGTGTGTTCTGCAGATGTAAGACAGGCATGACCCAAATCCCGCTTCAAGAAAGTGCAGCCTCCATTATCCCAACTTCCAGGAAGTCCTGGAAGTCCAAACCAGCCCTTTGGGGGGGTGGCGTTGTGTTACTACATGGAACATGCAAACACTGAAAGGCACTGGGTACAAGACAGCTCTTGTCAAAGAACTCACCCATTATGAGATCATAATCTCTGGCTTCACAGAGCCACAAAGCAATCAAGACACTGTGGAAGGAGGAACTTTCCTCCACTCTGGAGATCCACATCAAACTTAAGGTGCAGCACTTACTTGTTATCAGACAACCTCTAGCAAAGACTTTCACTACATGGAACCAAATCTCTTCATGTGTATTCTGTGCTTGGATCCAACACTATCATAGAAACATAGAAATGTAGGACTGGAAGGAACCACAATAGGTCATCTAGTCCAGTCCCCTGCACTAGGGAAAGACTAAGTATTATCCAGATCATCACTGACAGGTGTTTGTCTAACCTGCTCTTAAAAAACACCACTGATGGAGATTCCACAACCTCTCTAGGTCAGGGGTTCTCAAACTTCATTGCACCATGACCCTCGTCTGACAACAAAAATTACTAGATGACCCCAGTAGGGGGGACCGAAGCCTGAGCCCACCTGAGCCCTACTGCCCCGGATGGGGGGGGCCAAAGCCCGAGCCCCATCACCCTGGGCAGGGGGAGAGGTCAAAGCCGTAGCCCAAGGGCTTCAGCTCCAGGCAAGGGGCCTGTAACCTGAGCCCTGCCACCCAGGGCTGAAGCCCTCGGGTTTCAGCTTCAGCCCTAGGCCGTGGGGCACAGGCTTCAGCTTTGGCCCCAAGTGGTGGGGCTCAGGCTTCGGCAAGTCTAAGCCAGGCTGAGAACCTCTGCTCTAGGTAATGTGTTCCAGTGCTTAACTACTCTTACAGTTAGGAAGTTTTTCCTAATATCTTACATATATATCCCTTGCTGCAATTTAAGCCCACTACTTCTTGTCCTGTCCTCAGTGGTTAAGGAGAACAATTTCTCACCCTCCTCCTTTTACATACCTGAACACTATAATGTCCCCTTCTCAGTTTTATTCATAGATTCATAGATTATAGGACTGGAAGGGACCTCAAGAGGTCATCGAGTCCAGTCCCCTGCCCGCATAGCAGGACCAAATACTGTCTAGACCATCCCTGATAGACATTTATCTAACCTACTCTTAAATATCTCC